TGACATGACTTGTTGCAGGTGTGTGGCTCTCTAAATCTCGTCACAAAGGGCATTTTCCCTTTTAGTGTCGGTCATTCCATGGATGACGTTGGTCACTAGCCTTGGGGCTTGGTCTTCTGGTGAGGGGGACTAAGGGTTGGTCGGAAACCCGTCCAACGGTTGAGTCAGTACAAGGGCTTGGTGGAGCAAAGGTAGAAAAGACGTGTGTCTCTAGAGTGTAAAGAGATCGATCCCTTGTAAAGGAAAGTAAGGTTGCCTTTTATAGAGAAGGCTTAGCTTGCTCATCAAGTTTCTCTCTCTGCCAACTAGTACTTATTTGTTATGCTAGGTCGATCCTCATTGGAGGAGAGCAAAGACTCTGTTGAGCGGTTCCGTCATTCGCAAGCACCACGCGCCTTTTACTCACATGGTGTTGGTTGTTTCGTTAGAGCTCAAGTGTCTTGGAGTAAGTGTCTTGGAGCCCAAGTTATGGACCAACCCACTTCGAAGTGGGAATGGGAGCTAGGGCTACGCCTATGGCCTTCTCCACTTCGGAGTAGGGAATGGGCAAGATTGAACCCCTAGCTTGGCCCATCTTAGAGTGGGAGAGGGGGCCCACTTCGAAGTGGGGACCTTCGTCTAGCCTAACTAGGTTCCATACAAATAGGCTTGAATAATTGTGCCCCCTTCATGTTCCATAGAGGAACGTGACGCTATCGAGGTTGGACCCAATCTTAATACCCCATTTATATAAGGATTTAGTGCTTACTAGAACCACCATCATTAACTATGGTGGGAAGCTCAATGTACAGAGATAGGATCTGCTTGAGTATGGAGAAGAATGTGAAAAGGCAAAGAAGAATGGAATATGAGGTTGTGAAGGAATATGAAGGGTTTATGGACCAAATTGGTAATGAAAAACTTGAAGAATTTGGAGATCAAATTGTTTTGTTGGAGATTCTAAGTCTAAGTATGAATGTGGAGGAGATGATAGAGATTGGAATAGAAATTGGAATGGGATGAAATGGAGCTTGACATGAAGAGTGCGTAAACTTGAAGGGTGAGGGAAGAAAAGCGTTTGGAGACGAGGAAGCATCTGCAGAGACATTTGGCGTCTAAGAGCATGTTGAAGATGTGGAGTACAATGTCGTCTAGTAGGCGGTGATATGTGTCCTCTAGTTCTTCTTCACCTAGTGCTGCTTCAACAAAGCTCATTTATGTCCTCTCTCTCTCTCTCTCTCTCTCTCTCTCTCTACTATAATTGCAATTTGAATTTCATGGTTACACACTCTAATGTGTACTAATTGAGTGTTGTTTTTTTACGCTCTCTATGTAAAAGAGTGAAAATGATACTGGTTATGTTGTTTCTAAAAGAGTGAAAATGGTTCAGCTATACTGATTGGGTGTTATTTTTTTTGCACTCTCTTTGTAGAAGAGTGACAACAGTTCAGCTATTTCTTGCAGCTCATGCCATGATGTTTAGATAAATAACAAATACATCTCATAAGATCTGCTTAAAATATAGATTGCCTCTGTGATTTAAAAAATTACAAATATTCTCTTGTCAAAATTTTTATTTAACATAATTAACTAAAAAAATGAAATTCATAATTATTTTCTATACAATAATAAAATTACTAAAATTATTAATTGAAATAAATTTCTAATATCGTTAAAAACTATTAATTAATTTGATGATTTATTAATAAAATGGACAATTTGTTATGAAATTAAAAACCTCAAGGGTGAAACATAATTTTTAGAACCACATGAACGATTCGTAATTTAATTAAAGCTCATGAGATGTATTTGTAATTTATCGCATGATGTTTTGAGGAAATTAGTGGTTGTTTGGCAAGAGGTTAATTGGTTGTCTTGAGCGTTACTCCACACTACTCTGGACAGACACCTGTCTTTTTATCTCCTAAAATAAACACGGAAGTGGTGAAACCTATTATTTTAATTCTATTTAGATAAGTAATTTTGTAATAAATGTTGAGAATGGGAATTTTCTTCTCATGTTTAATTTGTATGTTAGAGCGGGAAATTGTGAGAAACAGAATTCTGTTATTAAGAAAAAAAATTATTTATAAATTTTATATGGGGAATGTTGATGTATTTAGTCTTAAGAGTTTTTTTATAAATTAATTAATATATTTTGTTTTGAAAAGTTATATTTATTTGATTTAGTGCCATTTAAATTTAAGTGAATGTGCTTTTATGATTATTTTTTTAATTTTTTATTCATTTTTGAGATGGAAATGGAAAGGCGAGGTGTGGAATATTCTTTTTGAAGGGATTGGTGGCTGAAGTATTAGTTGTCGAGTATGGAAAGTTATATTTCTGTTAGTTTGATTTTCAAATGTTACATTAGAGTGTTACATTAAAGTGTGACTTTTGAAAAAAGTATACTAAAAAAATTTTTTATGTACATTAATTGAACTGTTACATGTAAAGAAAAAATATACTAAGAAATTATAAAGTGGTAAAACAATTAGTATAATAATAAGTTGTAAAGAGTCAATGTATTCATGGGAAAATCCCCCATGATGGAGTTTATTAAAATTTTTTGACTGATGAGAGATCAAATGGTATAGTTCATTTGTTGGTAGCTTGGAGGATTAAAAGCATGAGCATTGCTTTCCAATTGGCAGTTTTTGCATTAATTACTACTTCATCAATCTTATTGAGTAGTGTACCCGCTGTATTTGCTTCTCCTGATGGGTGGTCATGTAACAAAAATGTTATATTTTTCGGTACACCAGTATGGATTGGATTAGTTTTTCTGGTGAGTATCCTTAATTTTCTAATCTCTTGAACCTAATCATCTCAGTTTTTTAGAATATTACGTTATTAAGTTTGAGAAAAATACACTAAGAAATTTTTTAATGTTACATTGATTGGAGTGTTACATTTAAAAAAAGTATAAGAAAGAGTTTTTTTAAAATGTTACGTTGTTACGTTTGAGAAAAATATATTAAGGAGTTTTTTAGTATGTTACATTGGAGTGTTTTGTTTGAAAAAAATATACTAAGGAGCTTTTTAATATGTTACATTGGAGTGCTACGTTTGGAAAAAGTACACTAAGGCCATGTTTGATTCACAAGACTAATAGTGAGGTATTAATAATTCTATCAAATTCGTGTGGTATTCACTATCTAATTGGATTAATAGGATACATTATCCATTGGATTAATAATCTCACCTCTACCCCATTACTAATAATCCTACAAATTTGTTGGATTAATTATCCATTAGATTAATAATCCTAAACCAAAATCTTAAAACAAACATAGGATAATTGGGCTCACAGATTAATAATCTCAATCACATACCCTAATCCATCCAATCAAACATGCCCTAAGGAGTTTTTGTCTGTTACATTGATTGAAATGTTGCGTTTGAAAAAAGTACACTAAGAAATGTTTTTAGTATGCTACATTGGAATGTTATGTAATTTCAATATTATGAGAAAACTCACATTTGTCTCTCCACATATAATACACGCGCGTTTGTACTCAACCATTTTATGTAATTCACAGTAGAATGAGATTTTTTGATCCATAAGAAAAAATGGAGGACCAAACCGTTCATAAGATCACTATTTAAAATTTATTGATGTTTCACCCTTAATTAAACTTATTTCTTTCTTATCAAAAATAGTGATATTTGTTAAGAAATAAATTAATTGATTATAAAATATTTATAATATCAAGATTGTTCCTTAAAATAAAAACATTAAAAAAAAAAAATCTTACTCATATCCCTATTTTACATACATCCAAACATGACAGTGAGAACACAATCAACTTGTTTGGTTGCAGAAAATTGGGCTTACTTTCAAATAATTGAATTTTTTATTCTTTGTAACTTTTTGTTTTTAGTCAAAATTTTAAATATTTTTATTAAAAAAAAATATTTTTTAGATATACTTAACATAGATACACTTAAAAGTATAATATTTATGAAAAAAAAAATATTTAAAAAATTCATCAAATACAGAAAATATAAAATTTAGTACAATTTCATATTCTTGTGTATTTATAGAAGTTTTAAAAATATTTTTTCACAAATATTTTATTTTTTAGGTGTATCTAAGTTATGTGCATCTATAAAGTAAAAAAAAATTAAAATATTAAAAAAAATCACTAAAAATAATTTTTAAAAAATACAAAAAATAAAAAACTTAATTTTCAAAAAATCAATCAAAACCAAACAAATTGAATATTTTTTTCTCCTCGCCCTGCAATGAAATTGAAATTAGAGCACCACCCGTAATCTTTGTAATTTATGTTTTGTGACAACTTGATCTTACAGTTCTAATTGCATCAATTTTATTCTTTAATATGCTACATTATTTTAATTTAGGTTCCGTTTATTTTGACATAAAATAATTTTATCAGAAATATTTTAATCATTTTCTATTGTTTAGTTAAACAAAGAAAATATTTTGCATCATTTTCCCAAAAATGATTTATTTATAAAAATTCTACAAGTTAATTTTTACAAAGTTGACTCTCACTCACTACATTTTCAACATATTTAACATTTTCAAATAAGTATTTTAACTCATTAAAAAGTCATAAATGACATTTTATTGAATTAAAATTTCTCTTTTCGGCAATAAAATATTTTTGTTTCAAGTATCAACCAAACGCCGAAAAACAAAAACAAATTTTTTTTTTTTCGTGTAAAATATTTTATATCGAAACAAATGAAACTTTACTCCAATTGTTTATGCCCTTTTAAAAATTACACTAAAATCTAGTGGTAAAATAGTTCATTCAATCTTTCTCAAATTATTTGAAGGATTGATGCCCATTTTAAAACGGTTCATTCCCATTTTTAATGGAGCATTTTGTTTTAATTTCTATCTAATTTCTTCATAAATGTTATCAGTTAGATTGAATTAACACAATATAAAAAAATTAAGGGACATTAATTCATACGATTGGAGTCAAATTGACAGAAGAACAAAATATGCTAAAGCTTAATGTCTCAATCCAATAATGACATGTACACAGTTGCTCACTTCCTAACAATGTAGCCGCATTTGTGAGTAAAACAAAGTACTATTAACTAGCAAGAATAATAGAGGAAGTGTTTTTGATTTGTTTAAAAGCTAAAAATGAAGCAACCAATTGAACATGAAAAAGATTCCTACAACAACTAGCCTAGAAAATATTCAAGGATGTTGTCTTCATGCTACTCTTGTGCTTTCCCAAAATGTCCCCAACAGCTTCCCGCGCCATCTTCATCTTCAAAACTAGCAAAAATCACCACATCATCATCATCGCAATCACCATCAACAAACAATTTGATCATGTCAAATTCCGCCCCCTCAATGATGTTCCCTGTAATGGCCGGGTCTCTTTTCCTCCCCTTCATTTCCTTCTTGTTGATTTTGTCCTCATTTGCTCTCTTGGGTTCGAAATGTTCGGAGGACACTCCTCTATTTGAAACTATTATTCTTGTTTTGTTCGGTGTTGGAATTCACCAGTTCCGGAGGGTGCAGAGTTCGGTCCGGAGTGTCCGGGAATCAAGTCGGAAAATTTCTGGGTTGCTGGCTAGGGCCGCATGTGCAGGGGCCCTGGGCCGTACGTGCAAGGGCCATGGGCCGCACGTGCGGTGAGGGTGGAGCAGCTGGGGTTTGCACACTGCCTAAAAGGCACGTGCGTGAGGAAGGTGCGAGAAGCGCCGCACGTGCGGGGTGGAAGTGTCGCACGTACGGGAAAAACGCGCTGCACGTGCAGGACCTAGGCAGTCCGGAAACTCTATTTTTCTACTCCTTTGGTCCGAATTTGTATCACATTTGGGGCTCATTTCTCTCACTCTAAAACCTAAATTTTCTCTTCTTTCTCTCTAGAAAAACATTCCCAAACATTAAAACCCCTTGATTCTTGCAATCCATTGGGTCTAGATCATCATCCTCACTCTCAAATCTTGAAGGTCAAGTTGGGGCTCTTCATGGTGTGTTGGAAATCAAGACTCTTCTCATCCTTGAAGTTAGGGTTTCACCTCTCCTTCTTCATCAATCCTTAAGGTAGGGTTATTCTTGAGTTATATATACATGTTTGCAAGATTGAGTGTTGATTTTTATACTTCTTGAATCTATTTCGAAATTTTGGTTTTTGATTCAAAATAATGGAATTTCTCAAAGGGAAGTTTAAAGACTCAAAGGTTTTTATGTTAACCCTTAAGATCTTGTATTTATGACCTCATAAGGTAGGTTTTGATAAACTTTCACCATAAAATGGGAGTTGCTTGGGTTTTTGATGGAACCCTAGAAATTGGGGATTTTGCAAAATAATGAAAATGCCTTTAAAATAAATTCCCTTCTTGTATTAAGAGGGTGCATGAGAGTAAGTTTTCCCCCCTAATGTTTAACATGACGGCAATGAACTTGACACATGAAATATGAGATAGTATGTTAATATTGTTGCTCATCCTTGAACTTGTAATGTGGTAAGATGATAATTGTTGAACACCATGGTTTGTGAAAAATTGAAATCTTGGAGGGTGATGCTTGAGAAATTTCATAAAATCTTGAAATGGCTAGAATGTTAACGAAATGTGCATGATGAGAAGTTATGTTAAGAGTTGATAGCGTTGTTTGAGCATATGGTCAATTTGTGAATTGATATTGGAAGAAGGTAAAGTGAAGAAAGATTGTGAGATATAAATTGTTGCATCATATTTGCTTTTAAATTCATTATCATTATTGAACTTCTTGATATGAGTTGGAGATCATTTATATTGAAAAAGTTTACATTGTAATGAGAACTATGATAATGTGCATGGGGTAAACACGTGATAAGTCTGGATAGGGGTGTAGTTGAACTTTGTTAAGTTGGCCTGAGTGTTCATGGTGAAAGACCAGAAAACCGCGCGGATAGGTGTCGAGCCTTCCGGTTAATACCGGTAAAAATGACAGTTTGGTAGTACTTATAGAGTCTACTTGCAGACACCAGCCTAAGGATTACCAGTGTCGTATTTACCGCCCCTATTGAATTAGTAATGGAAGTTTGAAATTGATGAGATCACATGATAATATTGAGAGCATGGTGATTTTGAAATGGTGCATTGAAATGAATATTTTTCCTCATTTCTTAATCTTGACATGCCATTGCATTTACATTTGTTTTTATGTTAAGGAAAAAGCATAACTACATATACTTTGTGAGAATTTCTCTACTGGGCTTTATGCTCACCCCTATAGGTCTTGGTGCAGGTAAAGATGTGGTGCTCCCGTCGAATTGAGGGTGTGGAAATGTTTTGAGAAGAATAGTGTGCTCTTTATTTTGTGGTGCTTATCTGTAAAGCCTAGGGCTATTTTTGGTATGGTTCTGAGAGACCACTTTTGTGTAACCAGGCTTAAGCCTCTGAAGTTGAAGCCTGTAAGGGCATTTTATTTATTTTTGAAACTAGATGTTTCACATGCTATGGATTCAGGTGTTCTTTTATTTTGTTGAATGTGTACCGCATGTGGGACTTTCGTATCAAACTCTTTTAATCAAACATGGAAAGGTGGAAGGATTATTATTATTGTCTAGTGAATGTTCATTAATGTGGGTAGTTCATGTTGAAGTAATTCGGGGCGTTACATTCCCAGACAACAGCAGGTACAGCACCGGCACATGACACCACACCACCTCACCTTCAATGCTTCCATGGGGCCGATATTGTTGTTGATGTCTCCAAATTCACATAATTCCTAAACTCCACAAGCCTCTCACCACTCAGATAGATTTTCAAAGCCCTCTTGTATGGATCAGTGATCACAACACTGAAGCATTGGGTGCTCGGGCACAACATGTGTTAAGATGGCTTGTCTCTGCTCTGCATTTCTTAGGCAACGCAACAACAAAAAATGTGATATATGATTTAAAACATCTCTTCTTATCGTACACATCCTATTCTCAATTTCTTGTTCAAATTTAAAGATTTTACGGCCAGATGTTGGATGGAGAATTGTGATGCTTTAGAGTTTAGTCCCAAACTTGGCTCCCCATTTCAACAAGGAGAAGTCATCGTCATCTGCCATTTCCTCTTTCTTTCTCAGAGCTCAATCTCTGGTTTCTTTCTTCTCAATATTTTTGCTATGTTTTTTCTGTCTCTAGAGAATTCTCCAAGAAAAGGGTTGGGCCACTTCTTATTCAAGAAATATGGGATTTTCAGAGAGTGATGAATTTTTAAGTACAAAAATTCAAGAATTCAAAGCACATCCAAATTGTCGTTAGATGCTTTTTGGCTGGGTTCGTGGTCCAATCGGCAAATCCATGGGTCAGTTAGTTTCTTATTAGTGACGAATCAAAAATTAACGCGTAAAATCATCTATATCATTGTAAGTAAATTAAGGAAGGCTGTTTTTAAGGGATGTCATCCTTTTTTTCACTTGCTTCTCGGGACCTTTGAACAAGTCTTATTTTGGATTGAGCAAGTTGAGAAAGAAGCTTTTAGTTAAGGAAAGTGAAGAACATTTAATTTTGAAATTCAAAATGAAGCCTAAAGCCACTGCTTTAGTGACTTCGGCTTTGAGGTATGATCTTTTCATTCAAATCCAAAGCATAACATATCAAAACCTACTGCTATGCTTGGATATTATAAGATTTGAGTAGAAATTTAAAAAGGGAAAAAGTAAAGCAAATTTGAATATAGTAAAAACTAAATTTTTTCTCTTTCCAGACCCTACCCCTTTCCATTTTCAAACCTCTATCAAAGTACATGATCCAAACACAAGTTGATTCCACTGTAAACTCTATTCACAATTTCATCCCTGCTGATAAATATTATACAAACAGATTTTATGAACAGAAAATTTTATAGAAAATAATGACAAATTTTGAATTCATTTATGAAAACCTCAAATTCCATCACTTTTTATAATTGTAAAAATGGATTGTGATCCTCTCCATTTCAAAATTGTAATGGAAGATCTTCATTGCATTATCTAAGGGTTTGTAATGATTCTTCCTAAATGTAAAATATTAATAAATTCTCATACTTATTTCACTATGATGTAATGGACATCTTCCATTACAACCATGAATTGGAGAGGATCCTAGTCTGTAAAAATGATATGGTTAAATCAATCTATATGGACTTTCTGAATACAAATTTTGTAATGTTCTGCATTTTCCTCTAGTTTTATCCAATAAACAAATCTTAACTTCAATAAGCTAAATTAACCGTCAATCGCACAGCAGTTTTGATGTAATCAAAACAGTAAAATACTATGAACCGGTGTAATCTACTTTCAAATTTCAATAACAAGAAATCTTAATCGATAAAAACGTGCAAAGTCACACAAAAAAATTGCAAACTATATTCTATTTTTCAGCTAAGGCATACCATGAATTTATCCCATGTAGCAACACTTTGAAAATGTACATAAAGCTCCACTCGGTTTTAGGCAACCGCAAAGTGCTTGTAATTAGTATTTTACATAATCCATTTTGAGAAGAAAAAAAAACCCACTATAGAGATAAATAGAAAACAAAATGACATTGTGGAGACCAAATAAAGCAAGGAGAGAATTTTGATTTTTCTTGCAAAATATTTTGTTATTTTTTTTCTGTGTTTCACCCAAAATTTGTGTGGAGATCTGCCTACCTTATTGAGCCACCACATATGGATGAAACCTTGCACACGCCTGCCGATGTGGTGAACGGAACGTCTTTGTAGCAAGCAACCAGCTCCTTGTCAGTGTGCAGATCCACTTGAACTGTTTCCCAGACTTTCTTTTTTGGATTTAAAATATCATCAGGATCACCTTTGAACCCAGGAAATGTTACTCTCTCTCCAACAGGAGCAGATTGGGGTGGCTCAACCAATTCAACCTGAAATTGCACCACCATCAAATCAAGATTTACATTTCCTAACTGTCTCTTAACTAAAACATCCATTCATGATCAATTACCCAATAATCTTATGTACCATCATAAAATATCTCTGAACCCTCCTAATGATCATACAAGAATATGAACTTGACAGCCCCAAACATCAGTTTAGTAACAGGAAGTCAAAATATTCACCCAAATATATTCTAAAATTCAAACAATTATTGAAAATCATTTTGAATGTAACATTAAAAACAAAACCCAAATATATACATATATATTGTAACATGAAGACTTGTTCAACCATACTCATAAACACCAATAGTTTTCCGTCGTAGAAGACATGGGACTGAAAAGCAGAAGAATATGAAAATGGATTTATATCCATGTTTGGAGTGCATTAATTTCTTTCTTACTCTCTTTTCTTACTGATCATTCAGGATTAGCACAAGCACTTTCTATGAGGATACCTTTTCACTTTCTTCTTTAGGAGAATATCTTGTTGTCACTCTATTTGTACTCACTTTGACTATTATTAATAAACTTTGTTGTTGATAAAAATAAAAATAAAATTTCTAAAAATCTTGGTGTAAGGCTGCAATTAGAATTATGGTGGGTTTGGCCGTGAAAAATTGCAAGGTTTTTTTTTTTTTTTTTTTTGTGATCAACAATAAAGAGTTTTATTGATGAATCAAAAAGAAAAAAGGTTAAGGCATCCTCTACAAATAAGATAACAAAGGAAGAAAATATAAAACCCAAACAAAGACCACGTCAACAAACTTCTACATGTCACACCCCAACAACCAATCTCCAGCCAACAAAAACAGTAGAATCCCCCTAAAAAAGGAATTCACCGAAGGCCAAAAATTGCTAGGTTTAGAGTTCGATAAGGTAGAAGGCTTTTAAGATTTTTAGCTGGAAAATGTGAAAAGTATCAGGTTGCTGGATTTTCAAAACAAAGACTATTTAAGGGCCTAGATGAAGTGTAAAAATAAATAGGTAAAATTGGCTTACCTCTTGCAAGGTGAGACCAAGTATATATATTGAACTAGATTACAATTTATAAGGAAAATAAGGGAAATTACATAAAATCAATTTACTTTTTGTCATGTTTCTGTTGTGTCCTGTCCTGAAATTTTTAAACTTACACGTTTTAGCAACTTTGGAACTAAACAAGCACCCGAAACAGGTCGAGAGCTGGGTGAAGTAAAAAGGTCCCATGTCCCACTCTGACTCCATTATATTTTTAAGTCACAAAAATATTTACATCAGATAACGAATTTCTAACCAAAGTTGTTAGCGTTCAATACTCATATAACAAGTTGTAAATGGTGGTCCGCTTTCAATGTGTGGAAGCATTGATACCCTTGCTTTAAGTAAAGGTTCAGTTTACCCGTATTTACCGTAATCCAAGATCAGAAGAGTGAAGAGCATAGGCATGTTGCATGTTTTTTAGTTCAAACTTCTAAAGTTTCTAATAGCCCCTTGATTTTTTACATGTGGATAGTGTCCAACACATTGTTTTAATTATTTCAAAATCTTTTGGCGTGCCAGTGAATTCACCCCACCCCTGGGGAGGGGTTGAGGAAGGATCACCCCGTCCCAAACCCGACAGCATCCTGTCAAAAGTTATTATGGGACATTTCCTTTCTTTTCATCTTTTTTTTTTTTCCCCCATTTCTTTTTCTCTCTTCTTGTTCCTGCTCCATTTGGTGGCTAGGCAAGACAAAGTATAACTGGATTACTTACTTTGGTGTGATCACTGTCGGATGCAGCAAGAACCATTGCTTGTGATTTTATACCCCGCATGGTTGTTGGCTTTATGTTGCAAAGAACACAGACCTTCCGATTCTGACAAAAAGAGCATCATCATGAACAAACTAGCAAAACAACAGGCCATAATTAAGTAGAAAAAAGAAATTTAGTAAATTAAAAAACTGGAAAAGCAGAGAACAGAAAACCTGCATGTCGTCAAGTGGAATATAATTGACTAGTCCGCTGACAACAGTTCTAGGTTGTCCTTCACCCACATCAATCTCTTCCACATATAAAGAGTCAGCATCAGGATGTTTCTGAGCTTTTGTAATAAGACCAACACGGATATCAAGTCTGCTTACCGAAACTTCTGCTTCAACACTGCCCTTAAATTTGGCATCGGCGACAGATTTTGTTGGCTGTTGTTTCTTACCCCTTCCGTCTGTCAAAAACGACAACACGCTTGTAGTAAGCAACAATCTGGACCATATTATTATGTTCGACAATTCACACCAGCATGCATGTTCTTTTTGGGAGTAGGGTTTTTTTAGTTTTAACTTATTTTCGTTTTTTGTTAACTTTTATTTAAATTGATTCAAATGGCTTTACTTTTTAGATTCATCTCAACTAGACGATCGGAAAAAATTTAAAAATTGGATCCATTTAAAAAACAAGTTAAGATAAGACAAAACAATCCAATTTTTGTAAGCTTATTTGAGAAAATTTTGCTTAAAAATTTTAAAAATTGGAACCTTTTAAAAAACAAGTTTAGATAAGACAAACAATCCAATTTTTGTAAGCTTATTTGATAAAATTTTGCTTATTTTCGTCTTTAGTGAACTTTTTCAAATTGACATCAATTTTTAAAAGTTTTTTTATAATTGTGTGGTTGAAATGGACCTAAA